GCACTGTTGAACAAAGACCAAGCTCTTCCTCCCTGTATCATAGCAACAGGTTACGTGGAAACTCATAAGTACTTGGAAACAGTAGCTCATGACCATTATTGCTGACTAATGTCCAGTTTAAGTTCATTATGTGGTGACTCAGAAATGTAAAACAACTGAATTCATCAAATCCCACATGGAGACAGTGAAACGCAAAGACACAGCTGAATTCCTGTGTCTCTGCTGGGAAAGTCTTGCAGGAGAGGTACAAGATTAATGGCTCACACCTGGTCAACTAAACCCTGCAGCCCACCACCACCACCACCAGCACCGCCCGCCCACCCACCTCCAATGCCCAACAGACCAAATCTCTTCTGGTTCTCCTGGTACATCTGGCCAGGAGTGTGGAAAACACTTTCTTCACACTTTTCCACTCTTGCGCTCGTTTCAGCGAAGGGTGTGGTTTGGGGCTACTGCTGCAGTGGAAACATCTACCCATCCGACTACTCTTCATTAGAGCTCACATGTGGGTGGGGAGATTTTTCAAAATTCTGGATGCAATTTAACCATTACCAACAGTTTCCCCATTTAATCTAACTGATGGAAACAAATGATCACACAAAAAATTAGACACTAAAAAAATTTATCGGGGATGCCCCTTGCATGGTGACACTAGTTAACTAGCAGGTGTAGTTTTAAATTAGATTTTTAAAAAAGCTGCATCCTACTATGAAAACTTTCTGTGGCATTAATGTGCAAAGTCATGCCTTACAAGCTGCAGCTTTAACACCGATCTGGAGCTCAAGACTTCAGATGTGGCATCTCAGTGATGCTACAGCAGCGCAAGCATCTGATATCTATCTGTTGATATCAAACTGAGCAAGAATGTCAAAAAGAGGTATTTTAGGACTTGAAGAGAAAGAGAATACACGCCCCTCTTCACTCACATGCATCGTACACAACATTGCTGAGGTCTCCTTCCTTACCCTAACTACGGCTCACCTCTTGCCCTTGCAGCACTCTCACCACTAAATACAGGTTTCAGTGAAACTGCTAAACGCATGCTGTCTGATATTTATGAGGTATAAGCCAAAAATTCTGCACAAGCCTAAGATTATCACACCCAACATGAGCTTACATGTTGTGACTTGAAACTACTACTATGCTATGGTCAGTGCACTATACATATATAATCAACGTACAGTGCAATCGAGGTCAATCTAAAAGCAGAAAAAGTTGTGAGATTAAGCAAGTATGCAAGCTCTTTCTGCAGCAACATCACCAGCAGATTTAAAACTTACCCTGAGCTGAAGCAGCTGTACTCCACTGTATTGGTTTTTGAAGAAAAACTGTATATGTATCTGTTATGTGAAATGACTGCAAGCTGGACTTTTGGTCATTATCCTCCTGGTAAATTCCCCTCGCTGGCTTTTCCAGCACCTCCCGCAGGAAGGCGGCGGAACAAGGCAGTGATAAGGTCACTGATAAGAGACGTACAGAAAGATCCTGAGTAAAGGGGTGAAATGGTTGAGACAGAAAGAGACAGACACCCTCCCGGTCTTAAACCAGAGGAGCTGTGGTGCTGAGTTGAAGGCTGGGATGGGACAAACTTCCAAACTCCTGGAGTCCTGCCACCTCTCTCTTCCTCCTCCCACTTTCTCTAAAGAAAGAAGAAGAAAAAAAAAGAAAGAAAAGGAGGGAGAGGAGAGAAGAGAAGAGGGTGAGTGGAGAGGGGGGGGAGAAAAGAAGTAAATGAAAACCAGACACATAGCCCTGTTTGGTCTGGACGTGAGCAGTGGGGAGGATGATGTCACAAATCTGGAGCTGGGCTTTTCTCCTTACCTTTTACTACATTTTGCCATTTCTCCATTTACCTCTGTGGGGCCTTTTTTCAAAACTCAAAGGTTTAGTTTGCTTTTTGGGTTTCCTATAATTAGCAATGTAACTTTTTGCACCCGTTTGTTGTTACATTAAAGTGGCGGCTAATAAAAAATATAATGTAGTTTAACTAGCATTCATTCATGATTCAATAAAGACTGATTAAATACTGCTTCAATTTACATTCAACCGTCTTAAATACGGACCCTCTGTGAGCAATCTTGGATTAAACTTACATTCACCATTAAACAAATGCTCCCACAAATCTTCTGCGCAGGAATGTGCAAGACAGTGTACTGGCAGTGTTCAAAAATGTGAACGCTGGTCAGGAAAAGCAGTGACACGGTGCCATGAATTACATTTTTCCGCAGCTCCAAAATAAAAGTAGCTGGCTGATGACATCGAGTTCATTCGTCGTTCTGCCCCCTCACGGAGGCTCAAACTCAAGAATATATAGACGAGGTAATAGATGATAAAAAAAATAAATAAATAAACGTGTATTACATGTCATGCTTGCAACATGCATTCCAAAAACGTTCAGTTTGGATTGTCTTGTTCATGTGTTGCTGTAGACATCTAAGACCAAAGCACATTCCGTGTTTTGATATTAGCAATGGACAAAAACATGTAAACATGTAAAAGGAATCACTCTTAGGTGTAAACCAGTGTACAGCCCTGTTTGGGCCACTGGGGGCTAAAAACTGTGTGTTGTCCACAGTGCACACTTGTTGTGTAGGCCCCTAGCTTATTTTCTAGGTGGTATAAGGACGGTTTTAGCATCCTTCAGCTTTGTTTTCGTTTCATGGCCGACATGTTTTGTTCATTCACTTCCTTTCCCGTCACAATAAGCGCCTGTTTGTAGCTAATAAACCCAGTGTCTTTGCTTCACAGCAGAACCGACATAGTTAACAACAAGCTATAGAAACCTAATGCAGCATTTAGCAGCTAGAGAGATATATTTTTATCTTGGTTTGGTGAAGAATGAAGCTAAAATAAAAATGGAGTGAGTATAGCTGGGAATAACATGATGTAGTTGCTTCATGTCAGCTGGATCTAAGACGAGGCTGTGTGCTAACAACAGGAGACTGTTTCCAGCCAAAATCTTCAAAATCTGTTTATACAGTCCTCACAGACCATAAAATACAATTTAAAAATAAATAAATAAATAACAATTAGAATATATCTGAGAAAAAGGTTTATGTAGCTTCATGTTTGCTGACGTTTGTGGACGTCAATGCTAGCACATTCACCAAATAAACTAGATAAAATCCTGTGTGTTAGCATTTTAGCCCCTTCATATCTTTGGTTTTGCTGAGTGGAAGCAGCCATGCCCTTGATTGTGACTAATTTTAATCCTTAACTCAATTTAAACATGTGACTCATATCAAAATCCCCCCTCCTTACATGACCAGCGAAATTAGCTACAAAGATAAACTCGCTGGAGCCGGCCTCAAGTGGACTCTTAGGGAACTGCTGCTTCTTCTTCCTCCATGTGGGCTTCGTCTTCAGCCCTGGAGGTTGGTCACTTGGTGGGAAACCTGAGGCTCATACAGTTTGTGACTAACCGGTAAATATACTGGAGCATTTAGCAGCTAAAGGGCCAGATATATGTAATAGGTGTTGCTAGAGACGAAAACTGTGCATGTTGGACTTTGACATTAAGCAGTCCAGAACATTTTTGGAATGTCACCAAAAAATGCAAATTAGTCTTGTTTCCATCGGCTGCTTTAGAGCGAAAAAACTAGACTGTGTTGTGTCAGTAGGCTATAGAGGTGTAGGAATATGTGGAGGTATATATTTACATTTGCATCACAGTTAATTGTTTGCTATGTCAGACATCATTGTGAAAAATGCTATTGCAAAACTAAGAACATTTTTATTTTTTTTTTTGGAGGGGGGGATTCTGATGAGTTTCTATTAAATACATTTATAAATACATAGATATTTCCCATATGTATGTCACGACAGCTTGTTACACTGCTGCTATGTGACCAAAAGACTGTGGCTTTAGTTTTAAAAACTTTGCACGTTTTTACAATTTTCACTTTGAAAATGGCGGCAATTCAAAGTCCCATTTCAACCTCTGTCTTCATGTATGCATCTTTGCATATAGAATCCTCCAATGTCAACATTTCCACATTAGTGTATATGGTAAAGCATTGGTATATAGCATCAAGAGATTTATAATACAGATACAATTCACTGAATGTCTCCAGGAAACGATTCTCGGCAGCACTTTGCTGTTGAACTCTTAAAAATGCCTCAGTCCAGGCCAAGTGGAGGGAGGATTGCTGCAGAAGGATTTTTCTGTCAGTGAGTGAAAACAGACTTTTTTTTCCCAGGTCAGTATGCTGTAAAATTGACTATATTCCCTCCCATCTGTGTGAATGAAAGTTAAGAAAGCTGAGCTCCGACAGCAGTTGATTATCAAGCAAGATAGCCTTTTATCACAAGGACTTATCTCTGTAGTTACACTTTATATATTGGTTCTCCAAACTCCAAAGTGCACCATATGGAAGCATTTACAATCGTGGCCTAATGCATCCATGTTCTGTTGTCTGAAGGTCATTACTCACACCGCTAAAATTTCCTGCAAAGCTCTGCACTGTTATGACGGTGCTAGGCAACCACTGTTGTAGTATTCATTGAAGCGCAAGCTGTTATATGTTCCAGAGAAAATGAGGATTGATAAGCAGCTAAACTGTCCCAAAAGACACAACGCTGAATGAAAACTGGCAATAAAATGTCTGTGAAGATTCTCAGTCATCCAGGCTGTGGTTACTCTCGTAGTTTAGTCGAAGCAACTGGACCTGCTTGAGTTTCTTAAAGACGTTTCACCTCTCATCCAAGAGGCTTCATCAGTTCTGACTGACTACTTGGGAGTTCCAGATACGTCTACTCAAGAATAGAATATGTAAGTATCTGGAACGTGGCAACAAAATATTTCCTTTTTGCATAATCAGTTGTGATCTCATTCAGTGCATTTATGTATGTTGTGATTTGGGATCAAAGCGAGATGTGGGCAGGTCAAATCCAAATATTCCTTGATCATTTAGGAAACATGTCTCACTTACATTCCCTTGTGAGAGTGCAATAACCTCATGCAGATCCTTCAAAATCAAAACCTGTCATGGTCTCGGTGTGACAAGGGCTAATAATTATATTGTGGGGTTGATGTTAATGTCACGCTCACAGCTTTGAACAATTGCTGGAGCTGTCAAGGTGCTGACATATGCGGTGAAAGGTTTCTTTGATTCGTGCCACCAAGGTGACATCATGTGGGTGGATGAAAGCGCAGAAATGTTTCCTGTGATGCTTTTTTAAAGCTGCCCAGACTCTTGTTTCTGCCATTAATAAGTGCCAGCTCTCACAACACTGATAGATACGGATGAGAGTTACTCAACATTATATCACATTTAACAGAAACACTAGAACAAGCGAACGATTTTCATTCAGATGATGTTTTGGGTGCGGCTGTAGGTTTCTACAGTATGTGGAAATTATGAAAAGCAAAGGCCTGTAAGTCCTGTACAACAGCGAACACACACTGTTTATTTTATTCTTAAAGAAAAGCATGAGACTCCCCTTCACATAAGTGGAGTATTCAAAGTGGTCGCTTTCCATCCCATCCCTGTGAAGACATTACTACTAGGAACAAACTGTTCACAGGCCTGTTTGAGGAAAATGCATGTGTTGAGTCCACCAACACACTTCTTATTTCCATTTAAGCATAAGCAAATAAATGGGTGGAGTTGGATTGGCTCACTTCTACCGCTTCGGATGAGGAAAGTATTAATACGTACAGTAACGGTAGATGGCGAACAGAAGGAGGTGCAAATGGTGGTGAGTAACACTTTCAAATAAATGAGGCCTCATCTTGTAATCCAGTTTCCAGTTCTTTTTCTTCTTCTTCTCTTTATTAGGAACCAACTGGAACTCGTCCACCCCTGTGCAATGTCACCTAAATGTCAGATGATTCAAAATTGCATCAGCTGCAAATAACTGCGTTACAGTTGGACAGTTGGGTATTTGTTCTTATGTCGAATTTAAAAGCTAACAGTTTGGATTTGCTGTATTTAAAATACAGGCACACAGCGCCCATATAAATGTCATCTCCCCAACATTGTTTGCACTCATGCAGCCCTACATCATCACGCTCCCATTCCCGAGCTGTCAGAGCTATACGTTCACGGTGGTTGTCTTGGCCAGCTCCATACCAAACATGTTGGACTCATCTGAGCCAAATCCATGTCCCCTTGGTCTCGTGTTTGTGCAACATTAATCAGATCGAGATAGTTCTTGTGTTGTCGCTATCTTTTTACCAACTTCTACTTCAAGTACTTCTTACTTTTTGAGTGATCTGGGAAAAATTCCTGCGTTCCCATGTTCACAGGTGTTAGCAATGGTTAAAAAATGATGTCGCCGACACACTGCTTATAATCTCACTTCCTGATTGGTTCGTTAACAGTAGATGACATTATTAGTAGCTTTTAAATGAACTTTTTATGCAACAAATCTGCGCTCATAAAAGGCAGTGGTTTCCTCTGGTCTAAGTCTCATTAAGTTTTACTGACAGCTTTAACACCAGCGCAAGAAAGAACAGCGTGCATTTTTAAGCTCTAAATAAACAATATAGACAGAAATGTGTAAATTGTATTAATGTTATTAGTCTTAGTGACACAGATCCACTCTACACT